CTTGGCACACAGACTCCTTCAGGGGCCTCACAGACTTCTTGCCCGCATGAGTGCTGATGTCTGAAAGGGTGTCAGCAGGCATCCCCTTGGCTGTGCTGTCCTCTTAGCAGAGGGCAGGTAGACCCCACACTGCACAGACAGCCTCCAAGGAGTCCCAGCAGAAGCTAGAGACACTGACCGGAGGGCTCTGGCCTCTCCAGGCAGGCCCTGCTTTGTTTGCTTGCCCCCCAGACTATAGGAATCAGAATTTCCTGGCACACGGCTGACCTATTTCTGCCACATGAAGCTTGAGCTGGTCAACCCCATGGCCTGTGAGGTGTTTCTCCTTTATGTCTCCTTTGAGGGGACTGTTTACAGCACCCAGTAGCAGCATCGCTTGATGTAAAGGAAGGATCGTCGCTATCTATCTTCTATATGATGTCGAACAGTTTAGTGGCTATCTGCCCAATAAGTCAACAGAAGCATGTCATCCACGATTAGTACCAGGCAAGACTGTGTTGTGCAGACCAGTGCTGTCCAGCAGAACTTCCTGCGATGACAGAAATGTTCTGTGTCTATACTGTCCTTTCTGGGAGCTCTGGGCCACTTGAGTAGAGGAAACTGCAGCTCAAGAGCTAAATGTTTGCTTTTATTTAGTTTTCATTAATTGAAAAAGCCACACGTAGTTACATGGCTGAACAGCACATATGTAGAACCAGAGCTTGGAATGTGAAAACATAAAAATCACTTTATCCCAACCGTAAGATTTTCTGAGTGTATCCTTCTCGGTTTACCTGGAAAAGTTTATTGTAACACACAGGCTTGGAGATTCTGTGTTCTTCTAGAATCTAGGTCATTTATAAAATGCCAAATAAGGTTCTCCTAACAGTTTATAAGAACATCTTCACACTTCTCTAGCCAGAGACATGTGTTTAAGCAGCTGTTTCTAAGTCCATTCATTTTTTGGCAAAATAGCCCTCAAGCTCTATCCTCAATTCTTCTACTCTCACCCCATCCCCAGTGACACATTTGGTTTGAAATCTTTGGTTCAAAATCTTTGCAGATGCTTCTGAAAAATGAAAGTAAATCACATATACAGGTTCCCAGGCCAGCTTACCCAAAATGCACACTGCTCGGCCGGGCGTGCCTCAGTGGTTGAGCTTCGACCTAGGATCCAGACGATCAGGGTTCGATTCCCAGTCAGGGCACATGCCCGGGTTGCCGGCTCAATCCCCAGTCAGGGGTGTGCAGGAGGCAGCCGATCAATGACTCTCTAATCATTGATGTTTTTCTCTCTCTCTCTCCTTTCCTCTCTCTGAGATCAATAAATATATATTTTTTAAAAAGTAAAAAATAAAAATAAAGATATATTTAAAAAACACACACAAGAAACAAAATGCACACACTGGTTGGACATGACTTCCCCATGTGCAGATGGCCGTGCTGTGTTTTGGTGGACTATTTTTGTTTGCTGTGTTTAGCGATGCTGCCCTTTATCATAAACCCCACTTCCTTGGGGAACAGAGCTGGGTGCATTGGCTCCCCTGGGTCCCTTGGGAGTCCTGTGTATGCACAGGAGTCACTGCAATTCTCCATCACTGGCACAGCAGCCATTTCAAGTACAAAACACATTTTTGTCAACAGTGGCTTGGTTTTCATTCTTGAGGTTCTCAGGTAAGGCCATACTTGATGGGGCCCAGACATATGACTGAATGCTTCCTGAGAGTTGAACAATGGTTGATCAAGCCTCTCCAATTCGCCCATCTCAGGGCCTCCTTTAGGAATGGGAACCTCCCTCACATGCTCTTTAGTAGAGAACTGGCAAGACTGTGACTTGTCAGGTCACTCAACCCAGTAGGAAGAAGCATAGTGTAGCAGCTCATTAAAGCCTTCTGGAGCCAGCTGCCAAGGGTTCAAATCCCACCTCTCCACCAGTGTGGCTTTGGGCAAGTTATCCCCTCTGTCAAGTGGGGGCAATGGTAGTCCATCCCCCCTCGGGTCCTTACAAGGATAAAGCAAGTTGGTTTGCATAAAGCATTTATTTACAGCAGCACTTGCCACAAAGTAAGCGCTATGTAGTAGGAGCCATTTTTATTACCGCAAGCAAGGCTTTCTTCATTGGTTTATTCCTGGCAAATGGAATAAACCAATTTATTTTCTCTTTGGAAATGGAATAAACCATTTTTTTCTCTTTGGAAATAACTCGGGAGGCACTTTTCAAAGCCTGCTTTTGCCACTTGGTTCCCAGCTTTCACCGAGTCTTTCGTACATCCCAACCTCCTCTGTTGGCCTCATGGATTCTCCCACTTTTTTCCAGTCTGGCAGCAGATGGAGCTCTCTCCCGGCATTTGGAGGCACACACTTTCCAGGGTTTCCAATAATATACTTTTAAATTTTTAGATTTATAAACATCTAATTTTCCTCCTTTTTTTCCCCCTCCCAGCTCCTAGACTTCCCTTTGGGAGTGGGCTGGGTTGTGGGGCCCACGGCTGAGGAGCTGGTGTTCTCTGTGTCCAGTCGGGATCCCTGGAGGAGGCAGGGCCAGAGGGAGAGCTGGGAAGGTGGAGACATCACAAAGATAAATGCATTTTATTGATAAGGCAATAGCATTATAAGGGCTGAGGCAGAGACCCTATCTGGCCAGGGCCACATTGGGGTGGGGGTTCTGATTCACATTGAGACACAGGCTGAGGTGTCCTTCACCCTCCTGATGGGTCAGTAAAGTGACAACCCAAGGCAGGCGTTTGGGATCTAGACTTGCTGTCTGAAATCCAGTATTTCCCCCAAGGGACTAGGTTGGCCACTGAGGGAATGAGAAATGGGATCTGAGCTCAAGCTTGGTGTAGTGAAAAGAGCACTGGACCCTAAGTCCAAAGTCTGGGTCCAGTTCTGGCGCTACTTCCAACTAGTTATATGAGTTGGGGTGAGTCACACCCCTCCCCCCATAAGCATCCGTTTTCTTTAATAAGGAGGTTGAACGACTTTAGCGATTTTCAGACCTTTTCTCCCACTTAATTGCAAGCTGGACCAATGTGCGGCTAAAATCAAATAACAAGGGTCTGTCCCAAATTTATAAAATAACAGCAACAACAATAATAATCACTGTATAGAATTTTCACAATATAAGTTTCCCCCCCATAAATATCTCTTAATCAGTGGTGCTTACTACAGACTACAAACTGGAGTCTGATTACAAAAAACAACTCACATCTAATAAACGTTAAGATTCGGCCGTGAGGGTGGTTTTCTGCAATAAGGAATGCGACTGTCAGATGTTTCCCACCTGAGGAAATGCTGGGCCAGGTGGACACTGACGGCTCTGGCAGTGGTAAGTTGGGTTGCTCTCAGGGTTTTCAGGGGACACAGATGCAGGTGGAGGGGAATCTTACTGACATAAACTCCTCCATGTTGACACATCAAATATGGCCGTGTTCCCCAAACTCAAGTAGCCATCTGAAGGGCCCTCTGGCACTCCTGGAAGAACCCTGTCTGCATTGGTCCCACACACCTACAACTCACTCACCGAGTAACCCCACTCCGGAGTAAACGGACCTAGAGTTCCCAGCTCCTGGGTTGGGCTGGCTACAAAGAACACAGAGTTTGAAGTTATGTACCTCACCCCCTCCCTGCCCTGACCCCCCAGGGTCCTTCTGACTTTGGGGTGGTGGAGCGAGAATAAGGGAACCAGCCCCACACAACTCTACCCCTAAATGCTCTCTGACTAGGCACAGAGGCCAACCAGCTCTCCCTCCACTTACACCCTGAGGTCTCAGAGCACAGCTCCTGAGGGAATGGTTGTCACGCAAGTGGGCAGGGAGAGTGGGGACAGGGCTTTGGGGTCTGGAAGGTCTTCACCTCCATCCCACCCTGCCAGGTAGGAAAGACATGGCCTCCACTCGTAAGCAGGATGGGCACTGCTTCTCTAGACTATGGGGTGGTTGGGAGAGTGGGCCAATCTCTGGGTCATCCTTGGCCATCCTAGTGTGAAGCCTCACCAATACCTATGGCCACAGTGGGAGGGCTCTGGAGCTTGCTGCAGGTTCTCTCTCTGGGGTGGAAGGTAAGGCATCGGCAGGGGAGGGTGAGGACGGTACTCGGTGCTTCCCTGCAACCTGGGGGCAATTCAGTCCTGCCATGTGGATTTTTGGAAGGAGAACTCCTGCCTCAACTAACCTCTTAGATCCAGGCTGAGGAGCCATGGGACTGGTGACAGGGACAGCTGTGGCCACCATCTACTACTCTTCTGTGAGGCTGGGTTTGCCTGTCCCACACCACCTGGGCCCTGATTTCTTCCCTCCTTGGGTATCTCAGCAGGTGGGTTCTGGGCCAGTGGCTCTGATTATGGGGAGAAAGCCCCCTCACCATAGCTATTTCCAAGGAGAACATTATCATGGGAATGAGATGAAGGTGGGCTTTGAGAGGTTAGGCAAGTGCACTTTGGCCAGCAGAGGTGGGTGAGGGGGAGTTGTGACCTTAGTCACCCTGTTTTTGGTCATATTTGGCAGCAGTGAGTATCCTAGACAGGCCAGGGATGGGAAAGCAAAGGGAGAAGGCCCCATCATGGCACACTGCCCTGGGACAGAGCAGCCAGGGCACACTGCCCTGGGACAGATTGGTGGCAGGATGAGGTGGGGATAAAGTGGGAGTTGTGGCCAGGTGGAGCAGGGGGAGGAAGATCCTCACCAGGCTCTAGACAGGTGGACCTGAATTGGGGCTGATGGGGGGAAGTATGGGCATCTGTCCCTGAGGAATAGGTGTGTTTTTCCTGTCTGCCTGTTCCCTGGGCACCAGCCAGCAGCCACTTCTCGAGTGGTGGGGGCATTCCCAGATGAGCCTCGCCTTCAGCCTTTGCCTTCTGCCCCCACTTAAGTCTCTCTGTCAAATAAACAGCAACTCCCCATGATTGAGGTCTTGAAGGACTGGGGTCATCCTGTGGCCCACAGGAAGCAGGGACCTGGTGTTAGGTTGGGTAGGGAGAAGAGGTGGGAGAGGAGGAGCTATACTCGGGAGTAGGTGGGAAGGGCTGCTGGACAGCAGCCAGTCCCAGGCCCGGGCACCAGCCCCAGAGGAGCAGCCCCACCCAGGCACCACCACAGGCTGCTCTAGTCAGGAGATCTCATTGCCAAACACCTCCAGCACGAGGGGTGTGAGCTTCATGCTGCACTCAGGCTGGAAGGAGAGGCAACGGTACTGCTTGGAGTGCTCCTCGTTGAGGCTACGCAGGTCAGCCAGCTTCTGAATCATCTTGGCGTAGAGCAGGTGGCTTCCTGGGGGTGGGTGGCGGCAGCGGATATAGGTCTGCAGTGTGTTGGACAGGCGGTCCTGGATGGCCTCGATCAGCGCAGCATCTTGCACTCCAGGACGGTCTGTGGGCACAGGGAGAGGAGGAGGAAGCACAGAAGCTCTGAGCCTGGTCCTTACTGTTCAATCTCCTCACCACCCCGTGGTCCACACAGACAGACACCCACTTTCAGCATCCTCCTAAGTCACCCCTGTATGACTGCTGATGTGTGACATCACAGTCTTTCTTAAAGCCCCTCAACCCCTTCCCATTGCATTTAGGATCAAGGCCCAGATTATTTTATGGGCCCATCTGGCCCTGTCCCCACCAATCTCTCTCCCTCTATCTCTACAATCCATCTTTTCACCAGGATCTTGATGCACCATGCTCTCTGGCCTCCAGATTCACATCTATGTTCCCTCTGCCTGGAACTCAGTTCTTAATCTTTGCCTGACTCTTACTGATACTTCAGGTAACAGTTTAAAAGACTTTCAAGAAAGCCATTCCTGATGACTCCCTACTTTCATGCCTCAGACTACATCAGGCTCCCTCCTTCTATTATACCCAGCTGTAATATCACATACTTCTTAATTTTTTAAAACTCTCATCACATTAGAAATCAGTTGTTAAATAGTAGTTGTTTAATGTCTCCTCTTACACTTCATGGGAGAGAAGTCTTGCTTGCTGCTGAATCCCTATGCCCAGCGCAGTGCTCAGCACCTAGTAGGTATATGTATGCTGAGTATATGTATGAATGAATGAGTGAACGTTGGCTGAAAAGAGGAGGGAAGCCCATGTCCATTCCTTGGTTTCCCAGCCTAGGAAAAGATCCCTGGGTAGAGGTCACTCACTTGTTCCCTGAGTATAGTTCAGGCTAAGGCAGTGCTGCCCCACTTTGGGCCTCATCATCAATATAGCATCCTCAGGACCACAATAACATTCTCCTCAGCCTCTTTCCCTCTTTTCATCAAAAACAGGTAGAAGAGCTCATGGATCACAGCACATTGCCTCCAAAATTAGTCAAGTAAACTGTCTAGGCAGAACCATTCACCAGGTCCCAGGGTTTTTTTTACCCTGCCCCTAGGGGACCTCAAGTGTCAAGGAAGTTCAGTCTTATTAACACAAGAGCAAACCCTGAATATTGGGACTATCCAGGCCTGTCTGTGGCCTAAGAAACCCCATCTACCTGGCTCCTGAGAATCCCACCTATGAATCACCAATGGCCTCACTAGGTAAGGCCAAGGACAGTAGGGGACCCCTCAGTATAAACACGCCATGTGGGCTTTGCAAAACCAGCAAAGTGGATATTTCCTGGTCTGTCTGTCCAAACTTTGCTCACTTCTCCCTTAAGACTGCCTTGTTGGTTCTCATCAGGGCTTCATTTTAAATATTCCCCATGTCCCAGGTCCCTGCGTTCCTCAAGGCTAGGCCTCATACCTGGGGAGACAATGCAGATGGCCATGAGCAGGACATGTTCTTCCTCATGCAAGTTCAGCTTCTTTAGCCCAATCTGGAACTTGATGAGTGGCTCAATCAGGTCCAGGCTGTGTCCAGCTATGAGAGAGAATGGCCAGATGCTATGGGCAGAACTGAGGAGCCACCCATTGCACTCCACCATACCTCCAATCCTGACCAGGCCTGACCCTTGCCCTTCTATCCCTGTTGCTGCCTGGTTAGGGCCCATGACCCCAGAATGGATAGAGCCAGAGACTGGGAGCTAGAGAGGGTGGAGGCAGAGCCCAGACACACCTTTGGTCACATCACTGATGCGGTACTTGTAGTCCTCAGCCCCACAGGTCCAGGACATGTCGTCCATAGTGAAGGACTGATTGGAGCGCAACATGATGACCTCAATGGCACTTGACTTCAACAGCACAATCTGGTCCTCAGAGGTGAGGTCTCTGCCAGGGCAGAGGTGAAGGTTAATCATGCAAATCAGTGTAGTGTTTTGATAGGTCTATACATGCCAGGTGACCAGTATGTACCCTGGATCCTGCATTGAGGAGCTTAAAGTCTGGTTGGAAAGGACAAGACTGTTTCTTGAGGAAGAGCAACTCAAGACTGAATGTTAAAATAAGAAATGAAGTAGCTCAGCTACTGAGAAAAGGAAAACCCAGCAGTGACTTGCCAGGGTTCCCCAGTTCTAAACAGCCAAAGGTATTTTAGGGACAAGAAGATAGAGTCTGAGGAAGCTCCCAGGGTTATAGCATGAATATGGTAGCCTACAAATGTATGTCCAGAGTCATCTTCAACAGCTCCCATGCCTCCCCCTCCCCCTTTCCTCCAGTCCTTCCTAGTAGTAAAGTTCAGCCAACTCTGTCTCTAGGGCATCTCTGCAACCCTTGACCTCATTCCTACTCCCACCAGGACTTCTCTGGTTAGAGCTCCATTATCTTTTCCAGTTGTCTCCTACTAGAATCCTGGAGTAATCTTTCATTCATCTTTCTTACTGCTGCTACAGGGAAGCATCACACTCCTGTGCTCAAAAATCCTCACTGACTATCAAACACCCAAAATCAAATTTGTACTCTATAAATTGGCTCTAACTTGTCTTTCCAGTCCCCCTTCCCATTGCAAACCCCACCAACTCTCCATTCTAGCAACTGTGAACTATTGCACATTCAGATGCTGTGTTCTCACACCACCATACCTCTGAGCATGTGACAGCTGGAGCCGAGAATACCCTTCTTCTCCCTCATCTTGTCCTTCTGATCCTGAAGCTGATGAAGTCTCCCTTGGAGCCCCCACTCTCTGATTCTCTTCAATAGAATTGGAGCCATTCCTTTACAACCCACTGCACATTGCTTGTACATGCCCTTTCGCCTTTGGCTCTGTTTTTTATATGCCTGATCTGGACCTTAAATGTAAGCTACTTGAAGGCCAGCACCACCTCTTAATTACCTTAATGTTGCCCACTTAGCTCTGAGCACAAGAGAGGGTCAACAAATATGTGCTAATGAGTCAAAAGTCCAATGACTTATTCCACTATTCTGCATTACAAGCTGGGCTTGTCTGAACAATGACAAGGGAAAAGCAGGGCCTGAAGATCAACTTGCTTCTGGTTTTTCTTCCCCTCTCTTCCTGACTGTGTATTTCTGCCTGGATATCCTGTAGATAGGCTGTAATCTTTTCTGTGGCTATACTTTTGTTCATCAAAAGATGATTAGGGTGACTAGCAAAAACTCTGCATTGAAAAAAAATCAGAGTGCTAGAGTTGGAAGACCCCTCTTAGAAGCTATGTGGTCCAATGTCCAGCATTCCTGACACATGGTTCCCACACAGCCTCTGCAGGATTCTCCAAGAGCCAAGGAGCTCATGGCCTCTGGATACAACCATGAAGTTGTTAGCTCTTTGTTAACAGCCTCTTATTCTATTGATCTATAACTCACATGATGATACACTCATCCATTGCTTGTACATGTGTCCTCTCAAGGAACACAGAACCAGACCTCTCCACTAGCTATGGGCATCCCTTTAACCACTTAAAGAAAGCTACCATGTACCCCTTGCATCTTCTCCAGGATAGACAGCCCTAACAACATGGTGCCTAGACATCTCACCTGGGAAGAGATAAGAGCTCTAGAGAGGCTTGCTAGAGGGACCATGGGAATAGAGGTGGGAAGGGGCTGGGCTTTTCTCTAGATGCTCAGTCTACATTTTAAAAAATTAGAAACTAATACCACCCTCATTTAGGTTTTAATTCACTATACAAGTAAAACATGTTCATCATTAGATCTTTGGAAAATACAGAAAGAATATAAAAACAAAAACTACTCATAACCACAATGAACATTTTGGTATATTTTCTTATCTTTTTTGTATGAAAATAGCTTTCTCTAAAAAAACATACTTGAATTTAGTAATTCTGTGTCCCACTTCTATTTTTTTTAAATGTTTTTACTGATTCCAGAGGGAGGAAGGGAGATAGAGAGAGAGAGAGAGAAACATGGATGACATTGATCGCTGCCTCCTGCACGACCCCTACTGGGGATCAAACCCGCAACCCTGGCATGTCCCCTGACTGGGAATCAAACCTGTGACCTCCTGGTGCATGGGACGGTGCTCAACCAACTGAACCATGTGGGCTGGGCCTGTGTCCCACTTCTTACATCACTAAAATTTCTTTAGCCCAGTTCATAGAGGGTTGCATAATGTTACATTATATCAACTAATTTAAGCTATTTAATCAGTCTCCTATCCACCAATCTTGGGACATTTTGGTTGCTTCTAATTTTTGTTACTGTAAGTAATTTTGTGAGGATTATCTTAGTACATAACCCTTTGTTCAATGGCCCACTAAAAACAAATGTCCAGAAGTGGTCAAACATCCCATGGGTGTTTGGCCAGAGAGATTGCTGGGAGATCACTGCCTATTGTGATCCAGACATGCAACTTCCATGAAAGCAAACTTAGAATAACTTCGAATTGCCACACACCCATGGCCTGAAAATACAGGGTATTTCTAAGTACAGCTCAGAGCCAGAACTGGAGCTGTGGGGGTGATGGCAGAGGTGGAGAAACACCAAGAGACCTTGTTGCTGCTATGACAGCACCTGCTCAGGCCCTGTCCTCCTCCCTGGGTCTAGGTCACATTTACACCCTAATCAGTTTTCACATCTGTGGCCGCTTCTGGGCACCTGTGATGAACTCTGAAAATGTGTCCCAATCTCGGTTTTCCCACCCCCTGGGCAGAGACCAGCCCCTCCCACCTGTATTCCCAGTGTCCCTCTAGCAGGCCTCTCGAGAGCTCTTATCTCTTCCCGGCAGTTGTTTACGAGCCTATCTCTCCCATCAGACACTGAACCCCGGGAGGACAGGGCCTGGGTCCTTGTCAACTTTAATCCCTCACAGTTTATGTAAGAAAGCAGCTGGTTGGATAGATGAACAAGTGAATGCAGAGGAAAGGGCATAGGAAGCACTATGCCACCCAGGTCTTAGACCCAGGACGGAGCCCCTGGGAATGGAAATGATAGTGAGGTTGAAGGCTTTTAGCCCACAGGGCTGGGCTCCAACTGATTTGGCCTGGTCTCTCATGCACTTCTCTTGGCAGTGAAACCTGTGGTCCTTGGTTCTCAGATCCAAGACTGCTCCTGGCCTCACTTCCTCCATGCATTTCTTTTGCAACACTGAGGGAGGGAGATTTGTGGGGTGCAGATTGAGAGTCTGAGGGAGGGGAGGTTGGAGTCAGAAGCAGAGACCAGGCCACAGCACAGCACAGTTCACACCCAACACAGTCCATCCAGTCCAACTACACTTTGGTCCCATGCCCGCATTGGAGTCTCATCCTGTTCCCCCCACCCCCGGACTCACCCACACAGAAGTCTAATCCTGCTCTCCCCGCACCCTCCACCCCCGCCCACAGGCAGCAAGATCAAAGCCACCAGGGATGTAGCCACTGTTCTTTCACTTCTTGGCAAAACAGAACCCCTAAGTGCAGAAACCGGCAGAGCCAGAGAACTGATGGGCTGGCCCCACCTGGGTCCCAGCGGAACCTGGGCTCTGGCCCCCATCCAGGCTCCACAACACCTCTGTCCAGTCACAGAGTATCCACATCGGTGTCCCCCCAGGAGCTCTTGCCAAGGTCTGCTCCATTTCTATTAAAACACATTGCGCTTGGGGACTTCTCAAGTCATGCTGAAGAGAGAGAAGCCAACCCAAGCATGTCAGGATCAAGTTACGTGGTTTTGCATCAATAACTGGACAGCTCCAGCACCTGCTCATACACTTGCCACTTTGGCCATGACTGCAGGGCTAGAGAAAGGGACTCTGGAAATGAGGCTTGAAAGGGAAGAAAAGTGAAAGACCTCAGCTCATCCTTGGGGAGAGAAATGGAAGGACTGGTAGTGATATTTGTCTAAGGGTACATGTGCCGAGATTAAGGGATAGGAGCCAAGGGCATGGGAGAAAAATGGGGGTTTGGGTTACTTAATGGAGGAGGCTACAACGGGGCAAGGGTAAATCTGGTTAAATGAGTGACTTTCTTTTCAGTACAGTTTTCCCTTGTATGCCATCCCAGCCACCACTTTGAATCACCAAACCTTAGCACCTGGACAGGGCATCAGATGCCCTTTCATCCCACTCCCCACTAGACAGGGAGGGACCCTGTGTAGATGAGAACTGCTCCCTTGAATTAGGATGAAAGCCGGGTGCTACCACGTATCCATCGGCACCTGGAAGTGTTTTTTCTTGGACTGTTTACATAAAACAAGACTTTGGAACACGTGGAGTTTGCAAACACTAACATGAAGAGTTGAGAAAGTTAGAACTTGTACGAAGCGGAATGTGTTGTCTGTTCCAAGGAGAGGCTCTGGAGGGTAAATCCCAGGCTCGGCACGATGCTGAGTGCACAGGTGACACTCGGCAGCTTGCTCCTGCCTGCTGCCAGAGCGCCCCTACTCCTTTTGCTACAACGAAATGCGCAGTGCAGTAAGTGTCTCGATGCCATTTGATGTTTTTCTCTTCTTTACAATTTTCCCATTGATTCCAGGGGAAGAGCATTGGAAAATTCCTGGTATTTGGAGTGGTGAGAGGCTTAAAATAACACAGAGCCAGATGTCTCAGGGCAGAAACAAACTGGGAAGTGCTGGGTTTAGCCTTGTGAATTACCATTATCTAGCTGGTAATGGAGTAAGTTAGATGGTAACTGATGACTTCCCTACATAGCAGAGAAATTCACAAAATGATAAACGGTACCTCATTTTGGTTTCCATTCAGAGCTGGCTGATGTGAAATCATTTTCTGGCTCCTAGTACTCCAGCACTGAATCAGAGCATCAGTATCTAGGATACTGCTGCTACAATTACAACTATTGCCCCTACTTAAAATGATGATCATATTGCTTGATACTGATTTATTTCTATTTCTCAACCTCATTGTATATATATTTTATGACAATGTTCTAAATGAACTTTTAGGAAAAAATGAGGATATGAATATACATACACATAGATATAACTATCTCCCAACATATCTACTAAAAGTGTCACCTTTTAAATATTTGAAGACTATTTGACACTGCATGACTCTTTAAATATAAGTATTAATACATGCCATTATTACCAAGACAATAAAACACTTGGATGAATGAAAGAAATTTGTATGAATAAATCGGTAACAGAGGATCTCTACTCCAGTAGAACTCCTTATGGTTATCTTTTTGGGCAGAAAGGTCTCAGCATGGTTAGGAAATGGCCTTGGATGAAGGGTAAGTTGGGTGAAGGATGCCCAGCCAGATCTTATATGCTGGCAAATCTGTCTCCCTCTAGACTCCTAAATGACCTCACGAGTCTTAGGCCCAACCCTTTCTCCCCTCCACCACTTCATCCTGGTTTCAGAATTGGGTGTGGAGGGTTAATGAAGGTTTAATTTAAAGGCATAATATGAGGATTAGACCCAAGCCAGCTGAGTGGACACAGCAATGAGCTGAATTCCAAACCTGGCTCTGACACACGGGCTCCAACACTGGGACTCCTGGTGTTGGCCTCTAGGTTTCTGTTTCATCATCTAGGGAGTGTGGAGGATGAATAGCTCTCAAGTGATGCTGGAGGGCTTCTCTTCCTAAAATTGCGTCCCAGCGATTCTGATTTAGGAACCTCTGATTTTGTGAATCTCTCTGGGGTAGGGCCTCACTCTCTATTATGGAAAGCAGTGGATTTGTGATCTTCAAGCCTCCTTGCAACTCACTCTAGGGTTCTAACTTTATTCCCCTGATGTCCCCAAAGCTTCTTACCTGAACCCTGGGATCATCTTGGCAAAGCCAATGACCTTTTGGATGCTGTAACTGACCAGGTCAGCCAGGTGGGGCAGCATGGAGAGGTGGGACAGGTCTAGGGTCACAGAAGAGTCATCTGAGTCTTCTTCGCTCAGATCCAGGTTGGAGAAGGTGGTCGGCTCTGTCATGTCTGAGGAGGGATGGGGGAAGAAAAGGAACTACTGAAGGATTCTTGAACCAGGCTTCCTCCTGCTGGGCCCTGTAAGGACCTCCTGCGCCCAGGCAGCTGGGCCAGTTCAATTGGGAATCCCACAGTGACCACCTCTCCTAAGGTCAATCTTCAGCCCAGGCTTCCCTCTAGGATTCTCCTCTCTTCTTTCAGCAGAATGGGGCAGTAAAACCAAAAATCACAGGTACTCCAAAAATGAGACTTCCTAGAGCCATGATTTTACATTCCCACTTGTAGTTCCTAATGATCTCAAGTCAAAAATTAATTTGGAACCAATAAATTGTGGGAAACAATGTTTAACTTCACTAGTGATTAAAAAAAAAATTGCCAAGTAAAACATCTATACTTTTCAGCTGTAAACTAGAAACAAACATGTTTAAATGTTGACACTGGTATTTATAAAGATGCAGGGAACTAGGCAATTCTTGTGCAGTGCTGGGGCACTAAAGGAGGCAAAATCTTCACAAGTCACCCAGGTAGCTATTTGACAATAGGGGTCAAAATCCTACAATTATGCATACTTTTTAACCAGTAATCCTACTTCCAGGAATTCATCATAAGGAAAACATTCTGAATAAGTGCAAATATTTAGCAACAAGTATACTGTTATCCTAATGAAAAGCTGGAAAACAATCTAGATATCCAATGATAGGGGGTTTAGGTATGTTATTGTGCATTCATACCTGAGACTACTATGCAGCCTTTAAAAAGAATATTCTGGATGTATACTGAATGAAACTATGATACAATGTATTATTGTGAGAAAAAAGCAAAGTACCAGACTGTGTATGGCATAATTCCATTTTTTTTTTTTTTTTTTTTTGGTTTTTG